CGGAATAGGTCGGAGTGGGATTTGCTCGCTGCTGGATGGCTCGTCCTGATCGAAGCGAGCGTCGAGGGCTATGGAGTCGACCTTTGGTGGGGCCTTCTGGACTTCTTCCTCGGGGGATGCTTTTCTGTCGGGCTCCTGCTTTGTCCTCTTGGTGGGTCTGGTCCCTACGTCGACGGTATCCCGTCCCTTTGAAGCAGCGTTGAAGCACCTGCGGGCAGCGGCGAGGTCTCCTTGGATGGTGGCTACCCGTGCCCTTTTGGTATAGAACTTCATTTTCAGATGGACAGTCGAGGGCACCACTGTCAGCTCCGTCAGTGTCGGTCTCCCCAAGATGCAATTGTATAGAGACGGGCAATCAATGACGAGGAAGCGGACCTTAACCTGTCTCGTAGCCGTTCCTTCTCCGAACGTAACCAGGAGCTCGACATAACCCCAAGGTTTGGAAGTCGAGCCGTTGAAGCCTTGAAGATCCGAACCCACATACGGAGAGAGATGTGAGTCGTCCAGTTGTAAGGTCCGGAACAGCTGGTTATACATCACGTCGACGGAACTCCCTTCGTCGACCAGGATGCGATGCACGTCAAAATTGGCCATTTTTGCCCTTATCAGCAAGGGGATGACCGCGTTCGGGGCTCCGCCGGGGAGTTCTTCCAGGTAGAAGGTGATGGGCTCTGACCTGCCCTTCACCCTTTCGAACGTTACAGTTTGTGGAGGAGCTATGTCGACCAGCTCGTCCAACTTCCTCTTGGCCGAATTGATGGTGAGGTCGTTGAACCCGCCCCCGTTGATGACCATGGCAGAGGGGAAATATTCCCACCTGCTGTGTGTTGTTAGGGGCTCCTGTAGGAGCTCGGGGACGTCGAAATCCTCGGGCCTGGTTACCGAGAAGGCGGTCTGGATAGGCACCGACTCGTCTGATGGTCGGGCGTCTTCTTCGGGCTCCTTGGCTTCATGGGCGTCACGACGGGGAGCGTCGTTTCACCTGTACTGTGCGAGCCTCCCTCCCTTGATGAGGGTTTCAATGGCGTCCTTGAGGTGGACGCAGTCTTCTGTCAAATGACCATGACTCCTATGGTACTGACAGTATTTATTTTTATCTGCCCCTGGCTTGGAGGGAGCAGGTCGGGGACGCTTGACGCCACCGTCTCTGAAATCTGTACTGGCACACTCCGCCAAAATACGCTCGCGGGAAGCCGTGAGCGGAGTGTACTCGGTGAAACGGCCCGAGGGGCCCCTTTGTTCCCGGACTTCCCGGGGTCGTTCTTCTTTCCTTTTCTCCCCGGTGCGTCGGGGAGGAGGCTCTTGTCGTGAGCTGCTGCTGTTGTTGGGAGCGCGAGCCCTGGAGTCTCGGGCCCTGTTGGCAGCTTCCCTCTCCTCGTAGTCCATGTATGCTCGGGCCTTGTCGAGGAGGGCATCAAAAGTTGGAGGTGGCTCAATACCCACAGCCTTTCTGAATTCTGTGCCGGGGAGGAGGCCCCTCTCCAGCAAATATCTTTTCATATGGTCCGCGCAGGGGACCTGTATCGCTTCCCGGTTGAAGCGGTTGATGAATTCCCTCAAGGTTTCATCCTGTCTTTGGATGATGGCCTCGAGGGCCGCCTCGGTCTTCGGATGGCGCCGAGAAGCTGTGAAGGAACTGATGAACTGGTTCTTCAGGTTCCGCCACGACGTAATTGAGCCCGGGGCGAGTCCTTTATACCAGTCCATGGCCGCCTTCCTGAGAGTCGTGGGGAAAAGACGGCACTTGATGGGCCCCCGACATTATGATAGTGGAGCATAGCTTCGAACCCGTCAATGTGGTCGACCGGGTCCGCTACTCCGTCATACTCCTTCAGATGCGGGGGCTTCTCCATGCCCGGGGGGATAGGTGCATCCATGATGGCCTGCGACAGGGGACCGCGGGGGTCGTCCTCGTCGCTCCTCTCCGGAGAAAGAGAAGGGGTCCTGTAGTTATGCCTGGCACGATGATCGTGCTGAGTTTCCCTCGAGCGTGATGCTCGGTGGTTGAAGGTTACACGCCCGTCCCCGGCGTGCCTCTTGTCGTGCCTTGATGGGTCGCGACTGGGTTCTCCAGCAGGGATGACGGGCTGTCTCTCATGGTAGGGCCGCCTCTGCTTTGGCCGGGGAGAAGGGCTCCTGGAGTTCTCCCTATAGTGTCTTCGCGGGGGAGAAGGGTGTCGAGCTTCCGTGACCCGAGGAGGTGGAGAATGTGGCCTCCGATGCCTCCTCGGGGGTCGTCGATCATCTTCAAGTGCCCTTAATCTTTCTCCTTGGGCGAATATGAGATAATTTGTCTGATTAATGGCCGCGAACAGTGCCTGAGTCGTGACATCTGCCCCGGCGGGAACTGGGACTTCATAGAACCGGGCAGCTCTGTGATGAGCGAGAGCTACCGGGTCGTCTTCGAGTGCTGGAGGGGTCGTAGAGGACGATGCAGTAGCCCCGTCCCTGTAGAAGGAAGGTCCAGGGGCGGTTGTCACAGGGATGGCACTGTGGCCGGGATCACCGGGGTTATCGAGGTGTCCATTCTTGTCCGCGGTACCGTTATTAGTGTCGGCGACACGGACGGGCTGCTCGTCGCGAGCTGGATCAGCCATGACAGGTAGTTGAATTGAGCTTTGGTCTTTTAGAGTTGTTCGTTAGACGGGGAAGCTTGGTTCCCACAGACGGCGCCACTGATCTGACCTGATCAGAAATGGACCGTCACGGCTGGCTCCGAGCAGAAAGCTTTTTGAACGAGGTGGGGGGGGGGGGGGGGAGTACCTGCAAGGCACTCCGATGCTGAAGTAAGTAGGAGTACGAGCAGATAATAGCAAGTGTAAGGTTAGAATGATGAATACCTGACCCTCTGGAAGCAGAGGGTATTTATAGCCCCCAGCGCTGGGCCAAGGTTCCTTCATTGGGCCGGGCAGGTTTGGCCCAATGGAGGAACTGCCAGGTTCTACGTGCGTAGTGGGGACCCGCACGTGATCTCCTTCCTGGATGTTCTGCGTGAAGTGCGGGTGGACGGAGACGCGGTCTTTCCGGAGTATCGTTGGGGAACAGTGGACTGAGTCTGCCCTAGCTGGGGTGCTCGAGGTAACGTCGAGCTGGGCCTCAGAATGTGGCGCTGGACCACCCCATGTCGAGCTGGAGGTGTATCGTCGAGCCAGTGACTGCGCGTCGGGCACGGTCTCACTCTTTGGTCGGCGTGACCCTTGTAAGTCCATTTGGACTGGACCTTTGCAATGCTTTTGGGCCTGTCGGGCCCAGTCCAGAACAAAATCCAGATTCAACTTAACACAAACTAATATTGATAATTGAATGTCAACATCAAAATTTTAATTATGACTCTTATGATTGTGCGTCAATTTTTAATGATTTTTATGATTATTTCGTTTATGATCTAAATTTAAAATTAAATTTTTTAGAAGAATTATTTTTAAAGAAATTTTTAAAAAAAACTGAAAGTAAATATGAAATATTTATGAGAAATAAAAATATATTTAACCTAATTTAAAATAAAAATTATTTAAGAATTTTTTAATAGTAAAGCCTAAATGGAAGGGCTAATAATTTTGTAATAAGAATAAATAATGAGAATATACTAAAGTGCTGCTAGAAACTAGATCAGTGGCCTGCTATTATATACAAGTAAAATACTAATTACTTTATAAACTATTACTTACATTTTCTACACACAATTCATGTTTTTCTTTCTACAACTGGTGTAGGCAGTGCAAATAAGACCTTCTAGAAGACCCCAATTTCTTGGGTCTCAAGTAGTCTCAGTTTGTAGCATATTTTATATTCTCTTCATTTAATATTATAAATAATGTAAAATAATAAAGAATGATATTTAATGCATCAAACTATAGTATCTGCAACCTTATTACAACCTAATAAATACACGAATGTGCCTTTTCAGACTACAAAGCTTGAAAATAGTTCTTCAATCTTCCGCAACTTCTTAACCCTTCAACTGGAAAACTAAGAACAAAAGGTTACGTTTCTTTTGTTAACTGTAATAATAATAATAATAATAATAATATAATGTCATTCATATTTTGTGTTATTCATTTCTTCTATTGCTATTTTGGTTTCCTTCAAATTCTACTATATAGAAATATTTATCCGTTTTTGTTCTCGTGAACTATACTCATCAGCTATTTAAGCTACTTTTAATCAATTTCTGTTCATGTATTTTTATATTGCATTTTCATATGCTGATTTTTTTTTAATCTAAGATTAAGAGTTTCCATAAATTTCATCATTATATTGTAAGTAAAACTATAATTTTCTGGTTTATCATAATGATCCATCATTTCCGTTATAGCGCCTAATATGCTCGATGAATGTTCAAGGGGGATTATTTTTTGCAAAGAACATGTTAATATACCATAAACAACGGAGAGTTCAAAGACTTATGCATAACAATGTTGTATCTCTTAGGTCAATGAATGTAGTTTTTAAGAGAGTTGATTTTGCCATCTAAAATGGAATAGCGGCGCAATTTGTTGTCCATTTACTTTCTATTTCTGTATAAACTTTAATTTTTTTTTTATGGTTTTTATTTCTACTATATAAATAGGAAAGGATTTTTAGGAGTTAATTTTCCCCAAAAGAGTGAAAATGTTTCAAACGTGTGTCTAATTCAATGTGCCAGTTACCATGTTTTGTGTTTCTAAATTTTGGAAGTAGTGATCATTCTTTGTAGCTACCAATAGCTCATGATCAAAGCTGTATTAACTTTTGTTTTACTTGTCCCATGTTCTTGGAAATGATGGTTGTCAACTTGTAGTATTCACCAACCAATTTGATTTCCTTGCTTCCCTCAAACCCCAATTGTCTTTCTTTTGTTTCTGCTCATGTTCAATTTGTAAACCACCTTGTATATATAAAAGATTGTTATTGTAAAACAAATCTCATTCTTTGGTAGCTCTAACACCTTTGTGTTCTGATATTTTCAGAAACCTTAGAAAGTATAATAAAGCATTGTCACTTGAACTGATTCTCGAACAATGGCACTGGCAAGGATTGCTAGAAGCAACCTGAGAAGATCAGGTGTTGGTAATGCATATCAGAAGGATATGTTCAATGAGAGATCACATACAACCAAATCCTCCTTACCTTCTTCCCATGTAGATGGAACTTTTTCGTATATTTCAAAAATTAAGGAACATAACAGTATGAATTTTTCAATGAGGGGAATATCGGGAACTCCATACTACCGGACTCCGTCTTCTAATACGCAAAGGGTTGTAGAGGAGTCTGAGTCAGAGTTGGAAGATGATCGACAAAGATATGCAGGACTAGAAGCAACAAAACCAGGTGAAAAGCCTAGGGTGGTTGTTCTAGGTACCGGTTGGGCTGCTTGTCGGTTTCTTAAAGGGCTAGACACCAGAATTTATAACGTTGTGTGCATATCACCACGGAATCATATGGTTTTCACTCCTTTGTTGGCTTCAACATGTGTTGGTACACTTGAATTCAGGTCTGTTGCCGAGCCTATTGGTAGTATTCAAGATGCACTTTCAAAGGATTCCAATTCACACTTCTTTCTAGCTTCCTGTACTAACATTGACACAAACAAACACGAAGTGAGTAAAATGATTTACCCCTCTTTTAGAAAAACTATACTGTTTGTTACTATGGAATGTTGAATGTCAAATATTGATAGACTAAAAATTTGTGTGTATACAAAGTTTATTTTTTCTTTTTCTAGAGAAATGCTTAGTTAATCTTAATTTCAACAGGTATACTGTGAGACAATTACCAACGATGGATTGTCTAGAGAGCCTTACCAATTTAAAGTTGCATACGACAAGCTTGTAATTGCATCTGGAGCCGAGCCTTCAACTTTTGGTATCAAGGGAGTTAAGGAACATGCATTTTTTCTTCGTGAAGTGAATCACGCTCAAGAAATAAGGAAGAGACTTCTCCTTAACCTGATGCTTTCTGAAAATCCAGGTTGGTGCTTCATATCCATACTAGTTTATTTTCAAGCTTAGTTTGTTATATTAATTATGCAGTTGTCAGTTGTTTTCTGAAGGCTAAGCTAAAAAGTTTTCATTTTAACAGGCATATCAGAAGAAGAAAAGAAACGTCTTCTGCACTGTGTGGTTATTGGAGGTGGTCCTACAGGAGTGGAATTTAGTGGTGAGTTGAGTGATTTCATCACGAAAGATGTTCGTGAGCACTATACTCATGTTAAAGATTACATTCACGTCACACTAATTGAGGTGCATGATTTTATATATTGAAGTCTATTTGTATGCTGAGGTTGTTAAATAAACTTAGTGTACTTAACCATTGTGTTAACTTTTCATGATTAGGCAAATGAGATACTGTCATCCTTTGATGTTAGCCTACGACAATATGCCATGAAGCACTTAACAAAGGTAAACCTTTTGTGTTTTAATCATGTATATACCAATCTTCCATCATTAACTTTCAAGTTTAAGCCTCTGAGACTAAGACATTTAATTTTCAATCAGTCTGGAGTTCGTTTTGTTCGAGGTGTTGTGAAGGAAGTGCATCCCCAAAAGATAGTTTTGAGTGATGGAACTGAAGTTCCTTATGGTCTATTGGTCTGGTCCACAGGGGTTGGTCCTTCAGAGTTTGTCAAAAAACTGAATCTTCCCGTATCTCCAGGTGGAAGGTATGTGAAGCCAAAATCAATACATAATGTTTCAATTTTTCGTCATTTTCTTTCTCCGGTTTTAATTCAGAACGTTGTTGAATGACACAGAATTGGTGTTGATGGTTGGATGCGTGTTCCATCAGTGGAAGATGTCTTTGCCCTTGGAGATTGTGCTGGTTTTCTTGAACAAACTGGAAGGCCAGTGCTTCCAGCTCTAGCTCAGGTCAGCCTTATAGCCTATGATGTTTTATAAATTCATAACAAATAAAGTGATCAAGAAAATCTGTACACTAAATTAAGCCTACATTAATTTATATTGTCCTTAAATCCAATGAGAAAAATTCCAATAGAAGTAGGAAAGCTTTTATTTCATTTTATTGGAAAAACAAGCAAAGCAAAAATAGTTGTTTGTCCATGTTTTATGACAGGTTGCTGAAAGGCAAGGGAAGTTCCTTGTGGAGTTGTTCAACAAAATTGGGAAACAGGATGGAGGAAAAGCTTTGTCTGCAAATGGCATCCCATTTGGAGATTCTTTTGTCTATAAACATCTCGGAAGCATGGCATCAGTAGGTGCCTATAAGGCACTTGTTGATCTAAGACAATCCAAGGTATCTATCTCTAATATCTAACTCACCCATTGGAGTAAACTAATTGTTGTAACGGAGTGCCGTCAAAAGAACAAACCAAAACTATGAGGAAGATTTAGTTTCTTGAGCAAATACAAGAAACACTTTTGCGTAAGAGAGAGAAGATGGAAGAAGAAGAAAGAAATATCATGATTGATTATAACTGTTTTACTATTCACTTTCTCAAAAAGGGTTTACATATTACAAGTGGATACCAACAACCCACAACCCCCCTCAACAACCTGAGAGAATTAATCTATTTATAAATTACTAAGCTAACTTAAGTAACAAGCTATCTTAAACAATTGAGCTAACAAGCTAGCCCAATTCGACATGCTAACAACATAGCATATTTTCGACAATAACATGTGAACAGACTTCGACTTCATGCTTAACCTCTGTCGAACCATAGAAGCTACTACCCCTGTCGAGACCAGAGTTCGATCCAATATACCACACTAATTATAAGAAACAAAGCAATTAGTGAACTTAAAAACACAGTTTCTGATTTTGTGCTAAATATATATGTTGTGTTTTGTAGGATGGGAAGGGATTGTCACTTGCTGGTTTTCTGAGCTGGCTGGTATGGCGTTCAGCATATCTTACACGGGTGCTAAGCTGGAGAAACAGGTTTTACGTTGCAGTAAACTGGGGAACCACTTTTGTATTTGGCAGAGACAACAGCAGAATAGGTTGAATTTCGGTTGCAGCATTGTAGCAAAACCAATCAACTTTTTTGACTCATTATTTTGGTTGAGTGGTCAGCTTATGTATTCTTTTGTTCTTTTTTTGGTATTCACTGTAAAACTTATATCATGTCATGATAGAAAAAAAGTTGGATTATATACATATGATATTTTACAGTAATTTATTCTTCATACATTATGGTTTCATTGTAAAGTATTGTAGGACAGGTTCTTCTCTGAGTACAAAGACTGTCAAATTAATTTTCTGTAATTGAGATTTTTTTTAATCAAAAACGGGCAGGCATTGGCCTTTGATATAAATGGAAAATAGGTAAAAAAAAAAGTTGACTAGGCCAAAACCTCAAAAACTAGCAAATTCTAAAGCTAGAAAGACCTAGCCTATTTCTATTGAAGTCCATAGATATATTGCTATGTATACTGAGTGTCCCACCACATATAGTTAGTAGAATGACCAATCTTTGTCCAATCAATTATGGACAAATATATGGAACAAGGCAATTCCGTCAAAAAGTGCCGTTCATGGTTTGGAGAATGCTTCAAAATAAAATTCCTACAAAAGATAATCTAGCTAAGAGGGTGAGCTCTATTAGGGGCAGGTTGGGTGTATCAGAGAGTGCGGTAGTGAGGAGTCGGTTACTCATATTTTTTTCAATGTCCAAAACTTGCAGGTCCATCCGTGGAGCTCCATTTGCTAGTGGATTGGCGTGCAAGCGGTCTTACACAATGATGGATGGAAGCATATGGATCAGTTCGAAAACCAGTTAGGTGGAGGCAGATCACTTACTTTGAAAAGTTTGTTATTTGGTACGCTTGTGTATGAAATATCTGGAAGACTAGGAATAACAAAGTCTTTCGAAATGAGAAATCTAACATTGAGAAAATAGTAGAAGAGGCGAAAGTCGCAGTACGGAGGTGGCTCAAAATAAAATCAAATCTTATCAAGGATGATATAGTTATGTGGTGTCTGAATCCCAAAACTTGTCTCGGCATCACGTACAATAAATTGTATCGTCACTAATAGTATTGTCTATGCTGCCATCCGAGTGGTCAGCTATCCACAAATTTTTTATGCTGATCGTTGGGGGGAGGCATTGTTAAAGTCAAGATTCAGTGGCACCTCAATTTTATTGACGTCCAGTTGTGATGAAGTCGAGTTTTTTTGTGAGTTTTCATCAGTGTGCCGCAGATTGTTACCATAATTTTCTTGGAAGGTTTTCTGTAGAAGTCGTGTGCACTTTGGTGTTTCATATTTGTTCTTACTCATGCCTTGACATGGAGGATTAATAAGTCTGCCAATGATTGGAACAAGTTTTTTGCAATCACTATGTTTGGCAGTTTTAAAGTGTTTTATTTGGATCACCGAACCGATTCAGTTCTGTCCTTGCAACAGTTGAACATTTGGTAAGGAGTCCTAAGCAGTCAGTTCCAATTCTCTGCGTGGTTTGTGATTTACTGCATTTTTTCCGTGGGTTGGATTTGTCTTGGGGTGTCGAAGATTTGCTCTTCCCTTGTTTGCGTTTCCGACGTGGATTCTCTTGGTATAACCTGCGTCGTTGGTTTTGAGGCTGTGAGGGGGGCTGTTTTGAAGTTTTTTTGGGGCGTCAATTTCCCATCCGTTCGGTAAGTATTATGCTAGGATCATTGGTGCGGAGGAGCCTTTCGTAGCTCATATTCGTTGTGTTGTTCGGAGTGATGGTATGATGAATCTTGGTTTGGTTATCTCTTGTGTGGTGCAGAAGCTGGAAGTGAATTTGTTTTTTTTAATTTAATTTCTTAATGTTCTTTAGCTTGCTAGCATGCTCAAATCTATAGTTTGCTCTTTAGTTGTGGTAAGACTATTGTTTGTTCATGATCATCTGCAAGTAATCGGTTTGTAGATCTAGCGGTGTAGGAAATTGATCGATAACAAGATAATAGATTGATCAGGGATCTGTTGTGGTTTTGCTGATGCAGTGGATATACTGCTCATCTGGTTGGTCAGGAATCTGATTTCAAGAGATCTTGGTGCGTTGTGCATATTGTGTTTTATTTGTGCTTTGCTTTATCTTTGCATTTGTCAGAATTCCTGGATATTGATCGGATTAGGTGTTGAAGGAGATGAATTTTGAGCGAAGTTGTATTTTTGTAAGATTTATGTTGGCTGGTGCAGAGTCCCCTTTTAGAATCATGTTTTGAGGCGCGGATGCTTGATATCGGTGTTTTCGATTTCATTGAGTCTCAAGTTTGTTGTGTTAATCAGGGTATTTGGTGCTGATTTATGGTTTAGTTATCTCAGGTTTAGTGTAGGTGGCAGTAACAGTTTTGTTCGAATGGGTAATCTGACTTAAGCCAAAGCCAATTCCACTGATGAGCCATGGCATGCTCTAATGCCATTATAGCTCCCATGAGCTCAGCAAAGAGGGCATTTCCCTACCCAAGATAACAAGAAAAACTACCTAGATGATCACCCTTGTGATCTCTAAAAATGCCATCACACGCTGCCATACTTGGAGTGCCTCTAGATGCCCAATCAATATTCATCTTAATCTAGCCTCTAGTAGGAGGATGCCACATTACCTCCTTGGAGATTTGAGGTTTTGAAGGACGGATTTGGACCCAAAAAATTCCTCAGAATTATGAACTCGTGAATAGATGAACTAGCCTTCGTGGTGGACAAGTTACCTGAGAGAGAAGTGCGAGAGAAGATACTAGTAGTAGAAGATTGCCAATGAATTGTAGTGTTCTAAAATCTCGGATGATTACTAGTTTCCCAATTGCAATCCAACGAATGGATGATAACAGAGAAAATAACAACCTAAATGCAACAAATGATTGGTCTATTATCTATCTTGCCCGCGAGCCAACCACAACTTATGCGCATACCTGAAAGAGAAGAAAAGGTGTTGTAAATTCTCTTCGTGATTAAGACAGAGACTGAACATGGAAGGCATGTACTTGCTCTTGGCCCTCATATTGTCATCAGTTGGAAGCTTTCCATAGCTGAGCCTCCAAAACATCAAGGATTTGGAAGTTGGAATTCAATGATCCAAGTGCAATTCAAATGAATGTCAATGCATAAATCATTTCTACCCGCAGTAAGTTGGAGCACTCTTTCCAAGCAACAACCAGAAGCTTCCTTTTTTGGATATCAGCACTCCAAATGAAATTCCTGTACCACCCCTCCACTTCATTGACTAAAGCAACTAGCCACAAGTAGATCATGATAGAATAAAACATCACGCTATAGACCATAGACTTGACAGGCTGAACTCTACTCGCTATGGACAAATGAAAGGTCTTCCCAGAAGCAAGCTTTGTTTTGATCTTATCTACAATAGGAAGGAAGTAAGCTTTCTTGGGTCTACCCTTAAAAATGGGGGCACCTAAGTATAGAAAAGGGAGGTTCCCTACAGAAAGTCCCGTTCTATCAGCCAATCTAGCATTCCAAACCTTAGTCATTGAGGCTGCATACATGATAGATTTATTAGGATTACAAAACTGCCCAAAATAGTTAGCACGTCTCTTGAAAAGATTGACTATAGCATCAATGGAGGATGTGATTCCTCTCGCGAACAACATTATATCATATGCACATAGGGTGTGAGAATGGACCACCATGTCTATAGCTTCCTGTATGAGCTTAATTTGGTTTGTATGTGCAAGCTGTCTGATGACCCTACTTAGCGCATCCTCCGCTAAACAAAAAAGAAGATTGAGATAGAGGATCTCCCTTCCTCACTCCCCTTTGATACTTGGAGAAACCATGAAGTTGGCCATTAATAGAAATTTAGATATTGGCAAGTGGCAACCTCAAGGATGCTCCTAATCCTTTTGCAAAAAACATCATTAAAGCCAAATTTCTTTAGAACTCTTAGTATAAAAGACTAACTCAAGGTATCAAATTTCAAGGCAATTTTCCTTTTATAGCTTTTCTTGTGAATAAGATTTGCCACTTTAGAGATCAGACCAATACACTTCTTAATGTTTCTCCCATGGATGAATTCCACTTTCTCCTTAAAGATGATGTGAGGCATGACTTGTGTCAACATGTCTGCCAAGATCTTGGTAATAATTTCTAACTTAAAATTTTCCATGGCTATAGGTCTATACTACTCTATTCTTTCTGCATCGTGAATTTTAGGAATTAGGACCATAATATTTGAATGATAGTTTAGCATCAACCATCCTTCTTTGAAAAACTAATCCTTCCTAATTAAATCTTCGACAACAATCTCCAATTATACACATTCTTATGTGTTATGGATGTTATAAAGTGAAAATGATAATATTGAGATTTGTCCACTCCCGGACGTTCTCGGAGTGGTTTTATTGTTTCAACATGTTCTTTTCTAACCTCTCTATTGATGTATTTTTGCAAGATATAGTCTTGATACATCCAATGACGTATGATCTCTGTATCAGGAGGTAGTGCTCCCTTCGCCTCTCGCTTGTTCTATGAATTTTTCTTGAATTTCCCCTCTTTTTGTTTCCTTGTCTGGGTTCTTTGTTACCTATTCCGCTTGTTTCTTCCATCTCAAACCCTCTCTCATAAGTTTCCTTAATGAGGATCAGTTTTACCTCGCATTGTTAAAGGATTTATGGCCTATGATTCCAATACTTTCAGAAAATTTGAACCCTTGTTTGAGTCTTAGAGTTAGTAGGTGCATATTCATTTTCTTGTCGACATCTTTGACCAGTATCACTTTCCCATGGAACCTCTAGATGTAAAATCATATCGATTCACCTTTTCACTGTCTGATGGATCTTAGGCTTTTCACTAACATGAGTTTCCTTCTCGGTACCCCCAAGTGTACGAAAACCAAGCACTTCATGGGATCCAAATTTGCTGAAAGTACTAGAACTAGAAGGATATGTCTTTCGTGAACATCACAGTGTCAGGAAGACAATCTAATTCACTTGAAAGCATGGAATCCATCAAATAGGGGAAAGACAAGTCGATAAGATCCTACATCGAGAGGTTCAAGGTAAAAGCGATGCTAGTTAAGGGAGC